ATACCTCAGTACACCCACAAGCCATGTCCACCAGCCAATCAGGAGCGAATATGCAAATTAACCCAACCAAGATGGCTGCAGCCTCAGAGCAAAGAGGAGGCTTGGGTTTCCCTGTAAATGGAGGAAGCCAAGCTTCCTGTACAGCCTGGCTGGCCCAAGCCATCGCCCAAGGCTACAAAGTTTCAATTATAGAAGATAAATAAATCTCAACAAAAATTGCTGTGGCCAAGGAGCAAGCTGGAGGCTTGGGTTTCCCTGGGTATGGAGGAAACCAAACTTGAAGCCAAACTTCATAACCCGCCCTGGCCTCCGCTCAAGGCTACAAAGCAGGCATCTTCAAACTACGGCCCGCGGGCCACATGCGGCCCGCAGAGGAGTCTGATCCGGCCCGCCAGGTTTTTTGGGCAGTGAGCGCAGCCGAGGTGTTATAGTAGGAATTAGTAGTTCATATAGTCCGGCCCTCCAGCTCTCTGAGGGACCGTGATCTGGCCCCCACTTTAAAAAGTTTGAGGAACCCTGCTACAAAGTTTCAATTATAAAAGATAAATAAATCCCAGATATCAGAGCCTCCACTTGGGTAGCCAGGGTGTGTGGCCAGCCTGCAAACCACCACAGGCCCCTCATCCAGGCCACCCCACACCCCAAGGGAACCCCCACCCTAATCTGGTACATCCTTAGGGCAAACCAGCTGGCCCCCACCCAAGCACCAGGCTTCTATCCTACCTAATAAAATAATAATATGCAGATTGACCATTACTCCAACACACAAGATGGCTGCACCCATGTGGACACAAGATAGCTGCCACAAGATGTCCAACAGGGTAGAGCAGGCAGAGGTGATCATGCCTACAGGGGAAGGCAGTTAGGGGTGACCGGGCTGGCAGAGGAGGGAAGTTGGGGGTGACTATGCCTGCAGGGAAGGGCAGGTGGGGGGGACCAGGCCTACAGGGGAGGGCAGTTAGGGGTGACCAGGCCTACAGGGGAGGGCAGTTAGGGATGATCAGGCCTGCAGGAGAGAGCAGTTAGGGGCAATCTGGCTGGCAGAGGGGCAGTTAGGGATCAATCAGGCTGGTGGTAGAGTGATTAGGGGCAATCAGGAAAGCAGGCAAGCGAACAGCTGGGAGCCAGTAGTCCTGGATTGTGAGAGGGATGTATGACGGCCCGTTTAGGCCAGATCCTACTAGGCCTAAATGGGCAGTCGGATATCCCTCAAAGGGTCCCAGATTGGAGAGGGTGCAGGCTGGGCTGAAAGACACATATCCCACCCCCCATGAACAAATTTTGTGCACCCAGCCTTTAGTCCATTATATTAAGCATAAAGCATTGATATGTAAAATAGTGTGGTAAGAATATAAACCAGATAGAGAATATTCATAAATTCGAAGACGACAACTGAAAATCAAAGGAACTGCATTGTGCCAAGAAAAGGCAATAACTACTGAGCAAAATACAGTAAAAGGATGCAATATTCCTTTAAAATGGAAAATTACTGCCCCTTAAAATCAACATTTATTATTTCATCCAGAGTATGTCCTATTGGGCAAGGCAGTCTATCATGGGCCTGAGTATCCCTGCACATTCTTTTTCTTTTTTAAAAAATATATTTTATTGATTTTTACACAGAGGAAGGGAGAGGGATAGAGAGTTAGAAACATCGATGAGAGAAACATGATCAGCTGCCTCCTGCACAACCCCTACTGGGGATATGCCCGCAACCAAGGTACATGCCCTTGACTGAAATCGAACCTGGGACCCCTTAGTCCGCAGGCTAGGCTGACACTCTATCCACTGAGCCAAACCAGTTAGGGCTCCCTGCACATTCTTGTTGAGGGTGACAGATTGCAAAGCTTATCCATTTTCTGCTACTGAGTGGATTATAAGTCACCTACGTAAAAGGGTTACAGCATTAACTGCCCTCCCAGACAAAGGTGAACTAATTTGTTTGCTACACTGTTTTTTGCTTGCTAAAAAAGTGCTAGCCCTTGCTCCTCAGTTCTTCAGGTGTGATCCATTAATGTATGCATTTAGACCCATCACACCTCATGGATCCTGTGGCAAAGAAAACCTGCACAAATATGCTGCTGATGATGCAGCTTGCTGTGCTATGAGTAATAATGTCATTTATTTCTGACGTGGAGAGTCTCCTGTTTTCTGCCAGCAACCAAGAAACTTTAACCTACTTGTTAGCTTGTAAATAAAGTAAAATAAAATCTTAAGATTTTTTCAGTCTTGATATGAACAAAGAACAAGTTGATATTCAGGTTGCTAAATAAGGGACACAAAAATGGTCATCAGCAAAAACTGAAATATTTTTAATATTTTATAATTTATTTACTTGACATTATTCATAATATTTTTCTCTCTACATTATAAATATAGTGTAGATATATAGTATATGTAGTATATACTATATATATATATATACATTCATATATAGTAGTATATTACATTATATAACTCAATAATCCTAACGAAGCCAAGGGTTCACAAATTGTAAAAAACGCATTCTAAATATAAGCCCAGATGACTTTAACACATTTTTTTAATCATTAATAGTCAACCTCCTTCCCAGCTGATTTATCAAGGGTAACTAATTCTCTATATGAAAGAGCAAAGTATTTAGATCTTTATAATATGAACACTTCATTATGTGCATAAAAAACTAACATTTTGGAAATGTTAATATAAGCTTAATATTTTCTTTCAAAATCTGTGGCCAAGGTTTAGGCTAGGTTAAACAAATCAAAACATTCATATTTAAAAATTTCTCATGGTTTTAAAATGCAAATATATGTTTTATGTTAACATATGTTACAAATCTAAGACTATTTTCATCATTCTGAAATTTAGACAGGTAACAATCAAGGCTTTTTGTAGCTCTACACAGTTATCCACTGCTTTACTTAACAAAATTCAGACCCATTTAACATTGGAAGGGAAGAGACCATGGAAAAATGCTTCCACATAAAACTTGTGCATTGGTTAATGGTAGTAAGTCATTTTGATGGTCCTGGGCACCTATGCTAACTCTCCAATATGGAATACCAAATTTTAACTCTATCAATAAGTGATACATTAACACTGCACACCTCACCTCTAAGCATGCTTGCCTGTCTCCAACTTTACAACTTAAATTGTTTATTAATCTTTCCAGAAAAAAAAAAACTGAGCTAAAGGCAGCCACAAAGTTGTGTTCATCATATAAGCCACAACTACAGATTGGTCCCTAGATAATAGTGTACTTGAAACCAATTCAGCTGCTTCTCTGGCATACACTTAGTTACAGTTATTGATCAGGCCGTTTTTAACAAAACCAGATGAAATTACTAAGTAGTAATAGGAATTAAAATCCAAATTCAAACTATGCTAAGATTCTCAACACTTTGCCTTCAAGAAAAACAAATAGGTTGCCCTCTCTACTTAAAGTGACTAGTATCTTTAGAACTGATTTTTGCCTTCTACTCTGAGGGAATGTCACCACCCATTCAAGGTCTATGAGGACATATCTCCAGTTTGAAAACAAAACACACACAATAAAATATGATATTGTCCACTTATATTGAAAGGTGGTTTAGAGGGAATAAAAGCCTTAAAACTGAAAAAGCAAATTTCAATACTTTGGTGTTAGAAACTTTTAAAAACTAATAGTTAAGTAAAGTTTTAACTAGTTATTATCACTGAAAGCAAATGTGAAATACAATAAATTAAGGCACAGCTACATCAGTTAAAAATGTTTTGAGTAGTGATTTGTGCATGAGAACATGGTTAATTCTTATAAGCAAAATCCCCAAACAGAAAGAACTCAAATCAGCTAATGCCATTAAGGAAAACAAATAGGAACAGGAAAGAAACAAGATTAAAAAAAAAAAAGTCCCACTGGCAATAGGACTCAATACCTACTGCATTTTATTTTTGTTAATGTCTGCAAAAATAAGAATATCTTTTTAAAAAAATAAAACCACCAAACCCATATACACTGACAACGTGAAAATTGCCTTACATTTTGGCAGCAATATTTTCCAAACTGTCCTGAAAAAAAATTTTTTTTAAAGGTAAATTTCCAAAGAATTCAGAATATGGATCATTTGGAGGTTTTACAAAATGTAAACCAAATGAAATGGAAGTATCATGAGCTCTTATCTTAGAAAAATGCAAACGTACACACACTGAAGATTCACCTTTCAGGAGCCTTCCTATTTCTCAAAATGCACTTAATTGAAATTCTTAGTTCACAACTAACTCTCACATGTGCAAGTAGATTTGAAAGGTGAAATCTCCACTAACATATATACATTTGTAAAATGTCACAGAGCGCCATTTAATTGTGCCATAAGCGTATTAATGTTTTTCTCCATTCTCAGTAAAATAGGCTTAACGAAATAACTACCTCAAAGTTTACAGAATAACACGCTACGTAGCTGCAACAAACTAGTCAACTATTGCTAGGTCCATTTTTTTTTTTTTAACAGGGTTTACAATAAGAATCTCCAATGACACTACCAGAATACCAAAGGGAAAACTACATGAGACAACATGACACCGAAAACGGAACACTCATTTCAACACACAAAGGTTCATAAGGTTCAACTGGAAAACCGTGTACTTCATGAAAGATTTTTTTTTTTTCCTAACAAGATTAGCACTTTTCTAGTAAAACTCCGTTTCCCCACCCGCAAACATACATACATTACATACACACATACATTACATGCATACATACACACACACACACGTACACACGAACATACATACATAATAGGGGGATAGAAAAAAGAAGACAGTCACTTTCAGTACTAACAATATGGAAAAAGGACAAAATGACAAGGTGAACTGGAGCTCGGAGACCAGACCCGCATCACGGCCGCCCGCCACAGCCGCACAGCGTCCAAACCCACCATGGTTTGCCAGGTGCCCCTCCGAGCGAACCTCGAAAGGCTGGCATTCCCCCACCCACCCACCCACCCACCCACCCCGCTCCGCCCCCACTCCACTTGTGACGCCGCCGATCACCTTCCTGGCAGGTACGTGAGCAGCAGACAATCAGGTGGAATGTCGCACGAAAGGCTGGGTCGGGGAATGAGGAAATGCTCGGGGAAGCGAGAAAACACAGAGGAGAGAGACGCTCAGACGGAGGGATGTGGACCGCGGTGCACGGGGTGGAGGTGAGGGGCGGGGGCTGCGCTAGGAGACCAGCCGGAGGGAAGGGTCCCCGGGGAGGGCACAGACAGGCTCCGCAGGAGACGGGAAAGCAGCGGCGGGTGCGGCCAGAAGGGAAAAGGGGGGAAAGCCAGCACGTCCCCCTCCGGGAATCATTCGAGGGAGACGGTCCCCGGGCCCCCGGCGGCGGCGGCGGCGGCGGCGGCGCAGGAGGCCGGGCGGGGGCGGCGGCGGCAGCCAGGAACTCACCACCTGGTAGCGGCCAGTGCCGAGCTGGTGGTGGTCCATCCTGCTCGGTTCGGGGTCCGGCTTCGGAGCCGGCGGGTCCCCTCGGTGCTCAGCCCCCTCGGCCCAACCCGTAGACGACGTCTCCGCAGGGGCCCTTCCGCCTCGGTTGCTGCTGCTGCCGTCGCGGTCACCCGGTCGGGCCGCCTCACTTCCTGTCGCTGCCACCGCAGCCGCAGCGACCTCCGCGTCAGCAGCCGCTCGGCGGGGCTCCCGGGCGCCGCGCGCGCTACTGCGCATGCTCCGCCGGCCGCGCATGCTCGCTGGGGACTGCGGCAACCCGGAGCGCGCGCGCGGGCGAGCGGCGGGGGCGTTGGCCGGGTGGGAGGAGATGGAAAGGCAGACAAGTCCGGGCGCTGTCTAGGTTGTCAGCCTGTCCCGAGTGCGCGACGGCAAAAAGGAGCGGGTGGGGTGAGCGGGGGAAGGTGTCGCCGTCCTTGATTGGTCTCTTGGCGCAGACTGGTGCACCCTCACGCCACGCAGAAACTGGCGGCGAGAAGGGAGGGAGAGAGCGCGTGCCTAGAACACCTGAGGACGCGCCGCCCGTTCACCAGCGCTTCCTCATCTTATGGCTCACCCTGCCTGGGAGAGTGCGGGGAGGTCCAGCTCCAGGATATCTTATTTAAGCCCTCATTCAAAGTCACTGGTGAGATTGGCTTGTCACGGTTGGATTCCCATTTAGGACACCTGCCCAGGTTGCCAGCCGGGTCCCCAGTGGGGGGCGTTTATGGACGTTTCTGGCTCCCTTCCTATGAAATCAATAAAAATATGCTTAAAAAATCGTTAGTGAGATAAGAGGTATCTTAAAAATTCTTGTTGTTGTTTTTTCTTGGTAGGAAAAGATTTTTTAAGAATCTAGCAAGGATTCTTCAGCCATATTCACATATCTCACCAAGGAAAGAGGCCTCTGGAGTCCTAAATATAAGACAAGCCTATCTAATAAAAGAATGATATGCAAATTGACTGTCACTCCAACACAAAATGGCTGCCCCCATGGGGACATAAGATGGCCACCACAAGATGGCGAGCAGGGGAGGGCAGTTGGGAGGGACCAGGCCTGCAAGGAAGGGCAGTTGGGAGCGATGAAGAATGCAGGAAAGGACAATTGGAGGGGACCCAGGCCTGCAGGGGAGGGCATTTCGGGGGACCAGGCCTGCAGGGGAGGGCAGACCAGCAGGGAAAAGCAGTTAGTGGCAATGAGGCTGGCAGGAGAGGGCAGTTGGGGGGACCAGGTTGCCAGGGGAGGGCAGTTAGGGGCAATTGGGCTATCAAGGGAGCAGTTAGGCATCAACCAGGCTGGCAGGGGAGTGTTTAGGAGGTGATCAGGTTGGCAGGCAGAAGTGGTTAGGGGCAATCAGGAATTCAGGCAAGTGAGCAGTTGGGAGCCAGCAGTCCTGGATTATGAGAGGAATGTCCCAGATTGGAGAGGGTGCAGGCTGGGCTGAGGGACACCCCTCTCCCCCGGTGCACGAATTTTGTACTCTGAGCCTCTAAGTTTTAAAATAAGATAGGATTATTTTGTGGTCACACATCAACAGTTCCCAAGAGTTTAACAGCAGGGAATCACTTTGTAACACTGTAAGATGCTATTGGTGTCACATTAACAATACATGGTCTATGTCAACATAAGAAATGTCCAGACTTGTGGAGAATTTTTACAAGAGTTTATCTGAGCAGGCTTGACAACATATGTTGGGGAGCAAGATCTCAAATGTTCTGGAAAATAATAGTGTGGGTTGTTTTTTTAACATTAAATCTTTATTGTTGAAAATATGTTCTCTTTTTTCCCCCATTGACCCCTTTCTAGGCTGCCCCCTTCCTCCGCCCCACCCAGGCCTTAAGGAGGGGGCATAAAGAAGGTTGGAGAAAGCAAGGTGGGGATTAGATTATAGGATATTTAACAAAATTATATGCTCTCTTAAGTGTTAATACCCCCTTTACAGAGTATTACTTTTTGTTGTGTTGTTAATCCTCACCTGAGGATATTTTTCCATTGATTTTTAAAGAGAGTGGAAGGGGAATGGTAGAGAGAAACAAGGCTGTGTCAGACACATCATTGATAAGCCTACCACCAAATAAGTGCCCTTGACTGGAATCAAACCTGGGATCTGGGCAGAGGCTCTATCCACTGAGCAAAACCGGCTAGGGCTGAAGGGTATTAAACAGGTGTGTTAACCTAGATTCACAAGAACAATGGACAGGGCTGGCTTAAAACCTTTCACTAAAATTATATGCTTGGGGTATGACTACCCCACATGACCTGCCCAGTTAAGAATTTATGATCAGATCACCCTGTGAGGTTACTTTCCATGGAACCCATTGTTTTCATCCACACCAAGATATTTTCAAGATATCTCTCATCTCACTAATGATTTGTTTTAAGCATATTTTGATGATTTCAGAGGAAGGGAGAGAGACAGAAACATCAATAAATGCCCCCCACTGTGAATGTGTCTCCTGCAAGGCACAGAGCATGTTTTTCCAAGGAGGAGAAGAGTATGATGGGCAGCTGAAACCGATTTGGCTCTGGATAGAGTGTCGGCCTGCGGAATGAAAGGTCCCGGGTTCGATTCCAGTCAAGGGCATGTACCTTGGTTGCGGGCACATCCCCAGTAGCGGGTGTGCAAGAGGGAGCTGATCAATGTCTCTCTCTCATTGATGTTTCTAACTATCCCTCTCTCTCTTCTCTCTTCCTCTCTGTGAAAAATCAATAATATATATATATATATATATATATATATATATATATATATATTTTTTTTTTTTTTTTTTTTTTTTTTTTTAAAGAGTATGATGGGCAATGCAAAGTACCTTTTAACCCGAAGACCTGCTTTCTGTAGTCTGAAAACTGTGATCCTACATGGTCTGGCCCAGCTATCATTTTTAACTATTGAGTAACCAAAGGGGATTCCTGGAATAAAGAAGGCCAGTGGATGAGCCTGATTGGCTAGGTAAAATAGCAAAAATACATTAAAGACAAACTTATTGAGAAGTCACCAACTAAAAAAATGTAAGCCTTCCTGGTAGTTTTTTTCAAAGCCTTCCTCAGATCAGTTCTTCCTATGTTTGCCATCTTAACACATGTGGTGGTTGAGAGCATTAATAAGCTACAAATATTAAGAGATAATGATACCATATTTAAATTTAAGCTTGCTTTCTTTTGAGCTAACTTAATGTATTTTAAATTCTAAGGTAAACATATGACATTTCTTTGTATTACTGTACAAGAGTTCATCCTCATAATTTCACCCCAAATGGGTATCATCTTTCAATGATTAAAACAATAGCAACTGATAAAAAATATATTAAGAAAAATAAAAAAGAGCATATATCATTTTGGAAAAAAATCCACACAGGACAATTTCAGCAAAATGAAACTGGATTCCTATAATACATTGCTTATGGTCTAAACAGTACATTTAGAACTTCCTTTTATGTGTACTTCCACTTTCATTAATCATTTATATGTCCATTTGTTTTTCAAATAAACTGCTGCTCAGGGTAGCGGCCATTTATTTACACCTAGTTCCTCACACAGAACAGTGCTGAGAACATAGTGGTGAAAAACAGATGTGGCCCAAAGCAGACATGTTGAATCCTGTTAGAGTGAATGTTTTGCTAATCTGGAGAGCAAGTGACAAAAGTCAACTGGAGAAGGAAAAGGCAGGAGAAAGAGAAGTAGAATAACAGCTAACAGGTATTGAGCCCTTCCCAAGTCAGAGATTGCGTGTGTGGCAACATTTCATCCTCATAACAACTCCATGATGTTGGTACAATTGCAATCCTTGTCTAACAAATCAGGAAACTGAGGCATTGAGGGTTCAGAAATCTGTCCAAAGCCCAATCACTAGTAATTGTTGACACTCCAGAACCTTCACTATGTTGAGCACTATGCTATAATACACTCCCCTTATCCTCCCCCACAAAAACCAGTGTTTTTCTGTCCATCACTACTGTGAAACTTGTGGTGCATCAGAAAGAGCCCTTCTGGCTTTCTTTAATCCTTCTTAATTGTTATGAAATAAACTATTCTCATCATCCCCAAGAGCCACTCTGAGCTCACTTTGCCCATTTCACAACTAAAGCAGTTTGACCTGTTATAAGCCATCACAAGCACAGGCCCTGAGTTGTCCCACTGGGAGCAAACTTATTTGGGATGAAATGGGAGTAACAATATTCTTATCATTTTGGAGGCCTTAAGCAACATCCAATATTTTACATCCCTAATCTGGTGGTTCTAGTTACCTAAGGAATTGATGGTCATGTACCACTATACATTACCCAGGTGGAATTTTAGAATTTTAGTGCACTTCGCTAACAGCTCTTATTCTAGACTAATTTTCATCTCCAAATATTACTAGTGCCATACTACACAGTACTGGGGTAGATATGGAGATAAGCAGCCTAGATTCCCTATCAAGAAAGCACTCTCTGTACAGCAGCCAGGATGTGATGAACAACGAACTCCAGCTCTTTTGTAGGGGTTTCCTGTAGCTTTCAAGAGAGGTCATGCTATTTTCAGGGTGGCACTTGGCCATTGACTGAACAGGTGGCGGTATAGGCCTAGCTACTTTTGCCT